CGGTGAGATTTGAACCGCCGAACTGCAGATAACAAGACAGCTGAAGAGTCCTGCAGTACTGCACCCTAACCACTGCGCCACCTTGGCTCATGTATATACCATATTTTTCGGAATATAAGACACAACTTTTTCCCTCAAAAAAGGGGGTGAAAATTGGGGTGCATCTTATACACTGAATACAGCATTTTTAGCCTCCTGAAACATCACTCCCTGTGCAAAAATGGTCGTTCATAGCTTTAGGAGGCTTCAAGGGTGCTCCTGGGGGCTGGGGAGGGGAAAAATGAGCATTTTTTGCTCATTTTGCCCCCCCCCCCAAGCCCCCAGGAGCACTCTATAAGCCTCCTAAAGGCTATGCATGCCACTCTTTTTTTTGACAAAAACCGGGTCCGTTTTCGTGAAAAACAGATCGTTTTTGGGAGGTCTGAAGAGTGCAAAAACTTTTTTTTTAATTTGCCTCTTCAAAATCTTGGTGACTCCAAAAAATATGGTATGTAGTTCTTGAAATTACAGGAGCTGATCACATCCAGCAGTTGTAGGGAATGAAAACCTATATCTAGCTGCTGTTAAGACGGCCTTGCCCTCTCTTAATAATTCTGAAAGCACCAAAAATGATCCAGAGACTGTGGCCACTATGATCCCTTTGCCCTTACACAGTGTAAGAAAGAATTGAAACTACAAGAGAAAACAGGAAGTAGGAGATTTGTCATATAATGGTAACATGGAAACTGGGTGGCTACATTAAGCAGTGGCTGAAAATTGTAATAAGCACCAAATTACAGAATAAAAGCAAAATGCCAAAAGAATTTCAAAGGAGAAACAATAATGAGCCCAGGGTAGAAGACAAGGAACCTGAATATAATTTGTTCTAAAATGAGGAAACTAACGTTTTTTTTAATGTTTGCCCATTTTTAGTATCAAGTTGTATTGTGAGGACTGGGTGGCTAAAGACACTTTAATTATAGTTACATCTCATATAGAAACTTCCCAATTTGTTGGTTTCAGAGAAAGGACTCACAATTTTTATAGTAAATAAAATATTCACAAATATCCAAGATATATACACTTAGGGATATATCTTTTTATGGATTAGTGAAAGATATTGTAAAAAGGAGTTAGCCTAGCTTACACTAGATAATACATATCCTACTACAGACACAAGTACAGAATACCAGGCCAGAGTTCACATCAAAGTGGAATTACAATATTTGGCAGGAGCAACTTCATTCACTTGGATATATGGGTGGAGACTGTGTGTATCCAATCACAGCATTTTTAGCAAAATGGAGATTTCCAGGAAATAGGACTGGAAGCATTAGAGATAATGGGTAGACCAGTGATTAGATTCTATATAAAAGTTCTTCAGATTAGTGTGGGCTGAGGAGCATTCCTAAATCTAGAGACCACTCACACTTTGGAAATTAAAGTGCCACTGAAATCATAAAAGAAATCTCGGTGAAGAAAGTGTAGGCCCATGATGGCAAACCTATGGCATGCGTGCCACAGGTGGCACGCAGCGCCCTCTGTGAGCTTGCGAGTTGTTGCCCCAGTTCAGCTCTGCCGTGCATAC